GATTTCTGTCTATGTCTTTTACTTTTAAATGGAAGTGTTCCTTTCACAAAACTAACATTTCCCCCCAGAGCTCATTGAACAGGCTATTAAAATGTTAATTTCATAATCTTCCTGGCCCATGATGTTCAAAAAATCTGTTGAATTGGAATCAGTTTTCTCCTTGATAAACTCTATTGATCTTATTACGTTTTGATGAGCTGGGTTTGATCCATTCCCAGCTCCATTTAGTGGCCAACAAAGGGCTCATTAGTGTAAGTGTGTAGAGCGTGCTCTGGCCACTTGTCTCTCAGCGACTGCAGTCAAGGTCTCATAAATCTCAAATGCTATGGAAATAAGAGATGGTACAAAAGCTAAACGTTCGCATGTCACAGCTGTTTGTCCCCAGATCTGATGTGAAATATCTATTTTCTTCTTATTTCTAAGCAACTTATTTCTAATCTGCTTAAATGGCCTCCTCTTGTTACTTTGATCTGTCAAACATCAAAATGTAGAATACACCAGGGTGCTATAATTGAAACTCATAAATGACTCTTTAAAGCAATCAATTCTGTCCTTGCCCTCATGTTGTTACTTCTGATAGCGGTGCTGTCTGTTTCTTCTGTAGAACCGATTAAATTTCAAACCTCCTCTGTGTTTCACTGCTTAGATCAGGATAAGAGAATCCCTTGGTTCGATTCTTGTTACAGGTTCATCACTTCCGCCAGCAGCTCGACTCTAGAACGTGTCGGCAGCAGATATTTTTGGCTTGTCGGTGCTGGAAAATTATACCAGACAGTGCGATTCCTGATAATTAAAAGCACCTGACTCATTTGAGGTGAGCCACTTGAAGGATACCCCCATTGGACTGTTTCTCATTGTCACGTCTTAATGGGAATGCTGATATGTCCCCTGAGTTTGACAAGTCAGAAGGTTTGCTGTGCTAAGAAAAAAGGCTAACTCGAATTTTTTTTGTATTCTGGAAATTATGTTGGATGCTCATATTAGACGTGGTTTGATTTGAATGTCAAATAATTAGGCCTTTTGTTTGACATTAGTGTCTCTTCTTTAAAATGTCGGGGTTCTCACTGAGCTATCGTGTTTGTCCAGACGAAGGCCTCAGAACACAAACTGACAGATTTACATGTCGGCAGAAGCCCCTCAGCAGGGTTCCAGGGGTTGACTGAGATACTGACAGTTCCTTTATAAAAGCCAGCTTTTAAAAAAATAAAAGATGGCCTTCAAAGCAGATGTAGCTTCTTCTACACTCGAAAAGAAGCTAATTGGAAAAACCAATATGACCCTAACAATATGACCTAACCTTCCCCCATATACTATTTTTCATACAAAGGAACTTTGAAGTACACCTCCAAGTTACCCCAGATCATTATTCAGTTTTCCATTTCAAACACGGAGCCTGTGTTTTTCACTTACACTAGGTTGGAGAATTTGAAGCTGGTTAGATAAGTCATCCGTTTAGTTTAAACCCCCCCAGAATGTGCAGATTTGAGATGATTTGTGTGACATTCAATGTCTCCATGCTTAGAGAAATAACAAAACATTTTAACATGATGAGTTTTGCAGCCACTCATAAACCGGAAATCCTGTTCTGTTTAAAATGTTTTGGAAGCTAGCAACGCTCGTTGCTTTTTGTTTTGCTCTCCATACTCTGATCTATTTGGTACACAAAATGCTACTTTCCGGACAAATGAAATACGATCAGGGATTTGCAGAGACAAGACGGTCGAAAGCCAAGTTTTGAGGTCAGAGAGGTTGGGTTTTCAAAGACAGCAAGTTTTAGAGTACACTGTAAATCACCGTCATATTTAATTTAATGTATTGATCAATGGCCACAAGTGACTTAGTTAGTTTTTGCTGTGAAGGCTCGATGAATCCTGAGAAATGATTTTCTGTCTTGGTGTACCTCATTACGATCCTCTTACTGTCCTTCCAAAAGGGGGCAGGATGTTTTAAATCTCTTGAAAAAAGACAGGCGCATGGATTTGAATCGGTCACCTCTCGCTGAGGTCGGAAAGTCTTAGGCAGTGGACAAAGTTGTGTCTCAAATTTAATAATAACGCTTAGAGTCACTGCGCTTTGACCTTCAGATGCATATTTTCCTCTAACATGATTTCAAAGTTTGGACTTTGAGGGGATATTGATTAGATTCTTAATTTATTATAGTGCTTCCAACATATTGTGCTTCCAACAAACCCATATAATGTAAGGGTGAGTAAAAAGGCTGGTGGAAAGCCACTTAGGTAGAAGTAGGAAAGAGCTTTAAAACTGACAATGAATATCACTTTGGACATGATATGCATTGGAGGGAAAGATTTATTTTTATGAAACCATATATTATTGGGATATCTGAATAGGCCATATGGTACTTCACAGGTGTTGGATTGAGGAAAAATGTAACTGACGCTGTCAAATTCGAATATGAGTCATTACTGTATATACTGTCTTGGGAGTGACATATTTTCTCGGCTCATGAAAATGATCCCTTCAAAATAGATTGAAATAGGTGTAGTTGCACAATACAGAAACTCATTACCTCCCCCCCTCAATAAATTCTGTTTATTTGCTCTTTTGCCAAGCATAGAATCACTTCGGTAGCTGCAGTTTTGCATCTCTGTTTTTTATAACGATTAAGCAAACAAGAGGAGGAGGGAGTTCATTAGTGAGACGGGCAACAACAAGGCCTGCCGTCTGTCTCTGTTTTGCAGCATTTGAGCTAAACTCAGAGGCAACTTCGTGTTTAGGATGTCTACTTTTCTAAAACATGTAGACAAAAGGACTGTTTTTAGCTTAATTGAAAACAGCACAAAATCATGTCAAGTCATCATGAGAATCTATTTAAAAACTGTTCTGATAATTGATAATTGGGACAAACTGACCATGCTGAACAATCCGATTAAATCCCGAACACACACCTCAAAACATCCCTGTTAGCTGGTTAAACAAGGAAGTCTCTATATTTAGATCAGTAACTTGGTTACGGTCTTTTCCAGTGGGGCGTCCTCCAAAATGATCCTGTTCTGTGTGGCTCTTCAAAGGGAGATTCATTTTCCTGTGCGGCAGCATGTTTTGTTGGGGTCAGAGATGCAGTGTACTGGTTCTTGGATCAGAGAAAAGGGGGAGGGAAAAGCAAAGAGAAGATTGGATTAGACGTTTGTAAAGCATATCCACAGCCGTACTGTTGGAATGTCATTGAAATGTGCCTGTTCGTTTTTTATGCTCGAATGAATAAATATGTAAACGCACTGCAGGACACATGATTAATGCTGAGATTGGATTCTTGCCATGCGATTGGATTTAGTCACGATGGATCCTTTGTAAAGATGAAAGACACAATATCAGAGAGTTTTCGCTGCCAACAAAAATCTGTGTGTGACCTTTGCAGTACATCTGTGTAAAGGAAAGTGATGCAACAGAACACACCCACAGAGTATCTTTCATCTTTAATCCAATTAATGCAGTTGACATCTACAGTAAATGTGGAATCATATATGTGGATAGGTTGTAAAAATATATATTTTCCATATTTCCATAAGAATTGATTTGCAGTATACTTCTGCATAATGTATGCTTTGGAAAAAAAAACAGCTGCTATATGTTTGTGTTGGGTGTCAGAGGATTATAAATTAGGGAAACTAAAGGCATTTGGTTACTTCACAACTGAGCTTGCATGATTTCCACCTATTTGCAGGTTAAGCTTGGGAAAAACTTGTGACTGTATTTGTTATCCTTAAAGGAAGCTCTGCGCTCAACACTCTGAGAATATATTGTATATGTTTAATATGTTTAAATCAGTACTCACAGATGCCACCTGGAACAGCCACCCTACTTTACATTTCAGATTTAACGCAGACCGTTTTTTATTTTTTATATTCCACATATTCCATGACTGTACACCATTAGAGCTTTTTTTTCTTACTACCACAATCTGTTGAAATCTCATTTCTCCTAAAAAAAATCTGTCTCTCTCCAAACATGTTCAACCTGGACGTACTTACACCTCTGCACCTTAAATGCCACTGCTGTGTTATTATTGTTCCATTAAAAATTCCAACTGATTACCACTTAAACTTAAGACAAAGGCTTCTTATGGTTAATTAAATTGTGGCACCTGTGCCTGTGTTTTATTTTATATATAATTTGTAATTTGTATATAACCTTTGGTCAACCACAGTTATTGCAAATCTCATGCCGGCATTCAATTTCTGATGTGCTACATGACCACTTTTCTATTGGAAGTGACTTTGAAGATGGCGACCATGTTCTGGTCATCGCCCAAAAAACAGGAGTGCTTACTCATTACTTGTTGTGGTATTCAGATATATAATTTCCCTTCCTTTTCTGAAACAAAAGTGTTTGCTGTAAGTTCGAGTCACCCTGTACTAAGATAGATCTGACACCTGCTCTGACACCTGTATTGGAGTATTCAAATTCTACCTCATCTAAATTTGGAAGGCAATTAGAAGTAGATTAGCTTTTTTTGTTTTTCATTAACTATTACTGCAATACTCTGCTGAACTAACACCAACAACACCATCAGATTGTCAAGTGCTGGTGTCAACATAAGGTCGAGTGAAATCAGGCAGTCGTTTCATTCTAAAACACAACACTTATTCACTTATAACACACAGATACCTTTGAGTTGTAAACTGATTCAAAGAAATAACAATTTCTAAGTTTTGATGAACACATAAACTGCTTTTAACCACAGATGCAATGCAGTGTCTTTCTGTTCTTCCAAATGAGCTACATTCACATAGTTAAATGCAGTTCTACTATTCGTAGTGCACTGATTTCAGAAACAAAATCAGTATTTTTGAGCAAATGCACTTGTACATGTTACCATTCAGCCTAAAGATGAACGTCATAAAATGAACCTGACAAATACAAGCTGTGAGGGGTCAAAAGTTAATGATGATTTCTTTTAAACTAAGACATATATCTTTGTATTTCGTAACCAGACCAGAAGTCACTTTAACTAACATCTTTTTGTTTTTTCTTCACAGTTAATATCTGCATGATGAAAGGGTTATCAGGTGAGCATATCCACCGACACGTCCACACATACATCCATTTAGCACAAAGAATATGGCAGCAGCAGTATACAGCAGAGACATATAAGAAGATAGAACCAAGACATATTGCAATTTTCACGATTCCCACAACAAAATGGATGGAAATTAAACTCCTGATGGACAGTGGAAGACTATAATTTACTACTTGATGGGAGGCAAGATAAAGCTCCCATGACTATCAAATCGTAAATAAAACGACCCTACGGGCTACACGTCAGCAAACATCAATGTTTACTGTCCTGTTTATCCAAGTTCTCACACATGGCGACATGCATTGCATATAAATGATTTGTCACATTCATCTTTGTGACAGCCACCGACAGTTTCAACACCGAGCCCACTTCCCCATGGCGGAAGAGGATCTGCAACGAATCCCGTCTGCGGTGGGAGGTAGAGATATGTGGAGAGGAATTCAAAAAGGACATGGCTCTTATAGATCCACAGCACTGGTGCAACTTCACACACTTCATCAGGTAAGATCTGATGACAGAAAATTCCATTTCCAGTATTAAATTTTTTTAACTCATCTAGAATGACAAGTAAAAATCTGAGACCCTTTACTCCACTACCAGTGAGGGGGGGTTGTGCCCTGTTACTCTTTTCCTACCATTGATCGGGTGTGTAAATCATTACAGAATTAATATAATTGCTAAAAATGACACAAATGGTCCCAACAGAATGGGCCTATCCATGGTGCTGAAATGTTGGATGAGTATGAAAAGCTGTATGATCGTTTGAAAAAACATACAACTATATTAACACCATAAGAACAACATTCAGAAATCCAAGAACCCCTCAAGCCTTAACCTAAACTTTAACTTTCTGAGACCCCAGACGACCTCCAAAGGAATATTGCTGTATTACGCACCAAGACATTAGCAGATTGGATTGGAGGAGGGACAGTAGCCTTCTTTCGAAAATCACTTTACTTCACTTTGAGTGGTCAATATACACATTGTGACTCGTCTGAATGTGTGAAGCCTCCTATGAATCAAACACTTTAAGACTCTCATCTGTCCAACAACGCTACTTTACGGAACTGTATCCTTAATTTTTTTTACTCTCTGTATGCATCAATGGGATATGACTGAACTGGATGCCGTCTCCATTCAATTTTTGTTAAATATCAAGATTTCTCACTAGTCTGTGTTCACTAAATGGAATGTAACGCAACTACAACAATTCCTTGAATAGTCTAAAGGGGATATGAAAAAAGTTGAGAGTTGCTGAAAGCCTTAGTGTTTTTTTTTTGTCTATTAAACACCCAGGTATCTGTTATACTTCATTACATCCACCTCTTCTCCCAGGATGGATGATTTTCTTCACCTAATATGCAGAATCGTTGGCAGACCGAACAGTGGCAGAGTTCATCTGAGTGTTTGATGAGAGGAATCTTATCTGTGTCAAGAGTCTGAGGCACCAAGAGTGAAGAGAAATGATGTTGGTGCAGTTGCTGTTTGTGTAGCTGTAACCACAGTACTACACAAAACTGGTGATACTGAAAGAATACTATCCTCACAGTGCAGTATGTTTTATACAACTAGGATAATGCTTGTTAAAACAAGTGATTATTGAAACGCAGAGCTTCAACCCAGCCAAACCGCCGTGGGTAATGCCTGCCTGATTACATGTGTGCATTAGTAACATTCTATCTATTCCTTTCATGATGTAGGCCATAGGGCAACTAGTTTGTCAAGACTGAGAGTTGATAGGATTTTTTCAGGGTCCATACAATGTACGATATCATCCAAAATACTGGCACTTTGTCCCGAGAGCTTATTGTTGAAATCAGGATACGAAAATCCACAAAGTTGTTCCACAAAGACTTAAGTTTGATAATGTGTACAGTGTTTGAGGTCACGATGTTTGTGTGTTGTTATTTTTGTTGCAAAACGAATCAATCAGAAAAGAATAATTGACTTGCAGTAATGATCATATCCATATTTATATTTGCTCTCATTCATTTATATTCAGACTGAAATCTGCATAACCATGCCCTCATTTTCACTACACATTACAGAGACTTGATTTAGGTGACAGACACAATCACTTCTGTTTAATTGCTTTTGGAGCCATTTATAGCTGTGTAACCTGATTTGGTATATTCCCAAAATGGATTATCTGCAGCAGCATATACTTCTACTCCCTCCATTTCCATGGAGCTTTCGGCACAATGTCTGTTAAGCTGTGACTGTTTCATTGTCTCTTTAAATCGTCGCTGTGTTCTTTAGAATAAATTGGCACACACATGTGGAAAATGTTGCTGTCTCAGTGGATTTTATTGTCCAGGATAGCTTAATTGGACAATGATGAATAAGAAAATGCCCTATCCGGAAACTGCACTCCTATTACAAGTTATTACAGGGCGAAAATGACTCACTTGGCTTTTTATAACAAAGCTGTGAAAGATAACATACATCTGGACTCTGTAAATCAACCCACACAATGATAATAGCTTTTGAAACTCTTATCATTATCTCTTCTTCATTCTTGAGGGATGTTGCCTTCCTGTCTGAGTGCTCTTTTTGTAGACTTAGTTAAGGGCTTAGTAATCTTCCAGGGTGGCATTTTCTGAAAAACAGTTAGATTGATAGGCTGATCAATCTCATCCAGTTGCAGCTGGTTAGGTGTGTGAGGGTGGGGAGGGCAGCTGGAGGCTTGCTTTCAAAACTCTAAGCTCTCTTTGGGAAACCTGTGAGCCACAACCACCTCTCATATCTGTCATTATCCAGCTTTCCACTTTGTTCCCCTCGTCCCCTCTCCGGTCTCCCACTCTTTTCTTTTCTCCGTTCATTTCAACTGAACAGTCATAAAGCAAAGCAAAGTGAGTGATGAGATTTCATACTTGCATGATATATACACATGAATCATCTGAGTCCTTGATTTGCAAGATAGATTCTTTCCCTTCAAATATTTTGCTTTGCTTAGTCCGTTTCCTTTTCGCAGAGCTTACGCCTTTTGATTTTCAGCAATCTTGCAAGTTTAAAGTCCTATTTTCAAATTCAATCTTGGGAAGGGGAAATTTAAAAAAGGCAAGAAGTGAAACTTCATCCCGCTGACACAACCATTTTCAGTCCGGTCAGGTCCCCCAAACAAGCAATTTCATACTCTAGGTTGTACAGTCGTAACACCATATGACAGTAGATCCATCCATCCATCCATTATCGTAGCCGGTTATTCCCTAATGGGGTTGGGGGGGACTGGAGCCTATCCCAGTGGTCAATGGGGGATATCCGGGGTGCACCCTGGACGGTCCGCCAGTCCATCGCAGGGGCACACAGAGACACACAAGGACGAACAACCATGCACACTCACACTCACTCCTAAGGGCAATTTGGAATGTGCAATCAACCTAACATACAGGTTTTTGTATGGTGGGAGGAAGCCGGAGAACCCAGAGAGAACCCACGCAGAGACAGGGAGAACATCCAAACTGTCAGTGGATCATACCCTCCAATTCAACCCCGTAAACTAAACTATCATAAGCTACAAAATTTACATAGATTCATTTCTTTTAGTTTTGTTGTGCAATTCATGCAACGTAGCTGCTACTTAATAATCCAACCCTCTCATTTAAGAGTTAAGAAAATATATAAATGAACATATAAAGCACAACTAGCAATGCTAAAGTCTATTACCACAACTGAAATTTAGTATAAATCTAGTGAGTAAGTATGTTGTATACTTCTAATCACAAATATTGGACTCTTTCTGGTCCAAATATATATATATATATATATATATATGTTTAATTAACCTTGTGGTTTAATTTGCAAATGCGCCAGTTGTGTTCAACTGGAACTGGGCAGAATAGTCAACTTTGCAACACAGTAGGTGTTATTTTTAGAGAGATATTTTGCAATGTTGGCTTGGTTTTGTAACCATGGAGGGTCTGGTTTGTTTTGCAAGAAAAATCATGGTTGCAAACACAGCAAGTCAGTCTTAGTTTAAAAAATATCCGGATGATTTTTCTTTCCATGTAGTGGATATGGGCAGTTTGATTGTGTGTTTTTTCTCAGTGGTGTGTCTGACTTTCACTAGGGGTAAAGATAGAAGAGTCTTATTTCCTTCTTGCAGGCAAGTCTAAAGGAAACTGCAAAAAAAAGAAAAGGCAGTAAATCAAGCTTATAAATAGACAGCTGTTTTTTTTTTCTTCTTTCAAGTACTGTTTTGGTTTACCTGAGGTGCAGGATGGGCGGTGTAATGTCCGGTTTCTGTTTTTGTCATTCTAGTCATACACTGTTGTTCTAGTTTAACTTAGTCTTCTCTCAAATCTGAGGACTACAGCGGCGGATTTGAAAAGGGGGGATGGAGCAACTTTCAGTTAAATGATGTATTTTCATGGGTCACTCATGAGTGTATCTTCTTCAAAGAAATAAGGTACCAAAGGAAACACAGAATGAGTTGAGAAGGATCATGTTTAAACAAGCACTGACCCCTGCAGAGCTTCCTCTATTTGACAAATGGGCTGTGACTCCCTGCAGTGATTACTCATGACCAAACACTTAGTCAACACCGCTGTTGTTGTGTGAAATGAACCGGTTCAAGCTGTGGGTAGACCAACCAAGAGTCTAGGCCAGTATTTATGCGCTTTAATCATTTACTTCTAATGTCATATCGACCTTCCAACTTGAACAGTTTACAGCTTAAAGACCTACAAGGTTTAATGTTTTGTACATAGCAACAAGAGGAAAGTGTTGTTGTTCAGGACTGTTAATGACGCGTATGAACTGTAGTAGTGAGAACCATGTTCACTTGGTATCCATCAAACATGTTGTTTTTTCAGCTGCACCTCAGAACAAGGAATTTACCTCTTAGATAAGCAAAGGCCTCATGCTAGCAGTGCTGCTTTACAATGTGTTATCAGCTTTTCAGTTTACTTCCGAAAAAGATCTAGAGAACAAACTGAAATAAAAGGGACAAAAATCGACAAAGAGAAAAAGAGAAAACAAAAGAGAAATTGTGGAAAAAAACGCCAAATCTTATCTTCATGATATTTACAGATTGTTTTTACGTATTTGCAATATGATGGAATCATATATTTTATGAACAACAATCGCGTGGGGTCACAGTATCAACATAATAATAGTTCCTGTTATTCTGTTGTTCTGCTTTTTCATTATACTTAAGAAGCTAACCATGTATTTCAAAATGTAGCATTAGAATTTATTTGTAGTTTAGCTGTTCACTGATCTATAAATGCTGTCCGAATTTGTGACCTTTATTTTACATTTTCACAATAAGACAGTTTGTATGTCAATGATTAAAGCAAGAAATGTGTCTTTGTCCAGTTTTCTCAAAGCCAGAATTGTCCAAATCTGGTCCTTAAAGGGTGGTTGTCCTGCAAGTTTTAGCTGTTTCCCTGCTTTAAAACATCTGATTCCGATTGAGAGGATGAAATCAAAAGATTTAAAGCTTTAAGAAAAAAGGCCTTCTGAGACCCGTTGCTGTAAATTTTAGATAGTTATTTTATGGCTTTTTGTAAAGGGCTGGAAGGCTGAATTTAGTATTTTGGGATACCTACAAATCCTGTGGAACTTTACAGTTTTGTTCATGCTATAAACTGGACACACATTATACAAACTGTGTGGGAAACTGAGATACTTAATAGTGATTGTTAATATATCCTATATTAATCTTCTAATGTCACTTTCTTGTTAGTTTCAAATATTAGTTTCCTGTTTCACACATAACAAAGAGGATTGATTTATTTAGCAATAACTTGAATTAGGCACATTTGACTGTGGCTTTAGGACTGCGTTGTACATGCAGTGACCAAGAAGTAATGCTTCATATTCCCTTAATCCTTCATTTAACATATTATTTCCTTATTTACTTCATTATTAGTCGTGCTCCTTTAAAAATTTGTTTTACACCTTTCTGAGTCAAAGATACAATATAAACGTGCCTCTTATTTACGTTTAATTTGTTTTACACGTATATTCAGTACTTCAGTTATTAAACCTATCATAAGGTATCTGTAAGATCCAAACACCCCTAATTATGTTATCTAAATTTTAATACCTCAGTGGCAAGAGTAAAATATAATAGTGTGTGAAATACTAATGAAAGGTTTCTATACTAAAAAATAGAATATAAACTAAAATCAGGTTCGGTATCCAATTGCAGAACCCTTGTGTGAGTGTACAAAAACTGTCTGTACATAATGCATGCATCTGGGTGGGTTGTGTGAATCAGCTGGGAATCTGATTAATCGCTTTCCCCCCGCTTTTATTCCCACCCTCCCCAGCTGATTCTCGTGTGTGGACGAGGGTCTAAGGAAAACATGTCGGTTGTTGTGTATTACATCTGGAGAATAACTCCAAACTCCGTGTCTCCCTACTGTCTTACATGCTGCATTCTGATTTGCCGCAAGGCTCGGATACATGCATTTTTCATGTCTTTCTCTCTCTGCTATTTCTCTTCTCCCACCCTCCAAACACACTTGTCCGCGCTTTTGCTTCCTCAAGTTTGAACCACTGACATTTACCAGTCTTTGTAATTTCAGCTAATATATTAACTCTGAACAATCTAAAGCAGCGTATATCACTGTGACTTTCTGCGTCGAGTGGTAGTGTTTTCACTTAAGCCTTTTTTCCACAACTTCTTTAGCGAGCATATATAGTCTTTTATGAAGGACTTAATACACCGCATACATCTATAAACAAGATAAGCACACAGTATATAAAGCTGCAGGCAGCAAGGTTCATTGGATTTGCCGCTCTTTAGCGAAGAGCTTATCTCCACATTTATCTTCAGAGTGCCTACGGCTTGACGTCAGAGCCTTATTTAAATGTGCTTTGTTGAGGACAGCGGGTTAAAAAAGTCTTAAATAAAAGTTAACATAATAATCCACTCTCCCTGACAATGGGTGCTGTTTTCTGTTTAGTGTTTTGATTGTGTTCAGGGCTTTTGCATAATCATCTCCATGTTCCATGTAAGAAACGGACAGCGAAACCCTCATTCTTAAGACACGGCACCCTCGGAGGTTGTAGGATTATTTAGGCTTGGTTTAACATGTCAGGCCCCACACATGTCTGCTCAAATACTTGACTGGCTTTGGAGCCACATGCAGTCTGAGTCTCAGGGAGAACACCATCAGTATGCAGACAGCGAAAACTGTTTCCAGCTCCAGTTATTGAGGTCTGTCGCTTGACCTAAAATCTTAATTAGTCAACGGTGGGAAATGTTTTCAGGATGTGCTTGATTTTAATATGCTTAAGCCAGTGTAAATATATGCATATGAAGAGCTCCACAGGCAAGTAGCTTTACTGGTGAATCACGGTATTCTAGGCTGCCATTTCTTACTATCAACAATAATTAGCTGACTATTTTCTCGGATGACCGATTCCGATTGGCAGAAAGAATAATCGATGTAACCCAAAGTGAGATTCATCACAACATTGTAGGAAGCTACTATTTGTCAAACTCGAAAAAGGAATTTTTTCTTCTTCTTATCTTTGACTTTTTCCCAGATATAACATGACCATAGTCACCTGATTAATACTTTGACCACCCTGCTGACCCCTTAATGGTACACTCTTGAAATAATTGATTAATTTATATCTAAAAATGAAATATTGCAAGATCTAAAATGAATTACTTTGCACAGAAAATGTTTTTTTTGTGTAACATTTGTTTTTATTATATCATAATGTCCCTTAAAAAAAGTCTCAAGTATTTCATGACTTATGAACAAACTAGGTTCATATTTTCAAAATACTGTTGAAACCTGGGGTCAACTGCAACTTGAAGTTTTCAGTTTGAAACGTGATTTGAAACACACATCAGCACACATTCTTAGAGATGTTTCACCATTGTGTTCTTGAGATGTACTTATGTAAATTTCCTTTGACAACAGTGGCTTATTTTTGGATTGAAAAACCTGACTCTAAAAACATTTTCCTCTGAACATGTCAGAAAAAAAAGAAAGAACTCGGGTCAGAAGTGTATAAATATTGCATAACAATGTCCTTGGATTTTTAATGTATTTTTGTTTCACAGTTTTCATCAGATTCTCAAGGAGCTTTTATTCATAGTAGCAGTGCGTCATGTGCAGTGACCATCAAAGACCTCGCTGATGAGACATTGAAAAGAAAGCAAACGCTTTAAGATTGTCAGAATATTCTGGTCCAAGATAATCTCACAGGCTTCCACGAGGCTGTTTAAGAAAACAGGAAACATACCATGATCCCTTTGTACATCTGCGTCTTCCTCCTAATCATCTCCACAAAGGCTGAACTGTATATATGTTTTGGTCGCTGGCTTATCATCAGAGAAGTTCTTCTTACGTCTGAGCGGCACTTTGCTCTGAGCTTGTTGCTTTTTACTGCCAATGTCAGCAGTTTTCGTTCTTCTCCAACCATCAAATAAAACAGATGATCTTTTTCTCTGCCTGACTAAGGAGCTTCCTTCGTTAGTTTTTCTGTCCTCAGTTTTGTTTTTTTGGTGATTGAGATTTGATGAATTAGCCATTAGTTTATGGATTTGACAAAAAAAAGCACATACACAGTTTTAGTCCTGACTCTGCAAAACCTGATACATTTGAACAAGTGACAGTTTGTACTGGTGGAATATGCACACTGGAAAGAATGACAGAAAAAACATAACAGGTAATAATTTACATGTTAATAGGTCTGTAGGTCCAAATTGCATTAAAATTTGTGCAGGTTAAAATTGCATTCATATGCCAACAAGCACAAAGCCTTCATCTATGTGGTTTCTCCTTCAAACCAAAAGCAGGTTTTGATAATTGCAGCCTTCCTGTTTTGCATCAGAGCCAGAACCACCTGATCTTTCAACATGTGGCATCTTTTGAGCTTAGACCATTTGTTGAAAAGCCAAAATCCACAATTAAAGCCTAATTAGATCTTTTTTTTTCTCCATCAAATTCACACCATAGTCTAAGTTGAGGATCATATGGGCATATTATCATACAGGTAAATATGATCATTTTACTTTAAGATTTTTAGCTTGTTACTTGTTTTAATGTTCACTTGGAGAGATGCAGCAGCTCCTGCATGTGATGAGGAAAAAGAGAAAGAAGGGTTAGGAATAGTTGAACAAACTCATCAGAGCTGCTTTCTGGGCTTGCAATGCTCTGAGGCAGCTTTGGGCGACCCATTCAAAGATTTTGTGTCCATCAGAGAACTGTGTGTAGAATAACATACACAACCCAGAGTCTCAATAGAAAATCAAATGAGTTTTCCCTGTATAAAAATGAATGATGACGATGATCTGTTTTTCTCATCTTCTCCCCCTGTCTGTCTCCGCAGTGAGTACTACCTCTTCACCCTCTGCACAGAGAATAAGTCCAACATGGTCGACTGCTACTGGCCCAATCCACTGGTGGAGAGCTACATCATCCGCATACACAAGCACTTTTTCTCCAATTGCACCATGGAGCAGGTGGAGTGGGTGGACCCACCGGACGACACACTCGCCGTCCTCATTCTGGTCCCGGTCTGCCTCACTTTGGCCATGATTGCGCTGGTGGTCTGGTGCAGCAAGAGGAGTGACCTCCTGGCTTAGGTCTCAGAGATGAAAGAGATTTCAAGGTCCTGATCTCTTCCCGGAGTCAATACTGTACACAACACAAGGAGTGGAGAGTTAACTGTGTGGGCCAAATGACTCCTAAGTGGCACTGTAAACCCTGTCAGCCTCTTCTGGATACGTCACACAAAATTCTGGAAATATAAAATACCTGTTTCATGTCATATACATAATACAGTAAATGTAGAGGAACAGCTAACAATTCCTTAGCTCAGCACGACTGGCAACAAGAGGAAACAGTCGTCTTAAAATGTTTGAAAAGTAATAATAATGATGATAATTTACCACAACCACTAAATCTCCAAATTAACACACACAAATTCTTGTTTCAACAAAAACAATGAAGGATCCTGGAGCACAGCTAGCTGTAGCTGTTTCCTGAGACCACAAATCTAACATCCGAACCACAGTATTGTTTGCTTGGATTAAACAAACAAGTTCATACGTGTTAATTAGGGAGTTTTGAGTGGCCTAGTACAGCTGGAGAAGCTTCTTTCCTCTTGGCAGAGCAGCGTTTGCTACTTTACTGTGATTTCAGTCTTTTCTGCAAAGCTAATCAGCTGCCAGCTGCACTGAGGCTTCTTGCACAGGGACTCATGTAGCTCTGGAAAATAAATTAAATGTTATTTCCAAAAAAAGTTGAGCTGTTCCTTTGCGGCACTGGGGATGTTGTTTGATATGCCGTCGCTCACTGGGGTGATTTGACCCGCGGGACATTTCTGGGATGTATCCTGGGAGCTCTTGGATCCAGACTTCTGGCCTTGGAGATTCTTGTCAGAACACTGTATCACTGCTGAAGGCCAAAGTACTCACCAGTCAGTGACTGACCTCTAAACTGGTGGGAAAAATAGACTCACTGAGGAAGCTGTTTTGAAATGTTTAATCATCACACTGTAAGATTGTCTGTGAGGAAGCCAAATTTGGACTTTGTGCTATTTCTAGGAATATGATGTTTGTACTAACTGGGTTACCGAATAGATACTCACCACTGGAATGGATACATTGCCCAAAGACAAGGCAATATTAAGTTTATGCATCATGGGACTTTAATTTAATTCGTGACTGCCTGAGCCCCAAAGGAATGTTTTGTAGGAAACTATTGGATATTATTGTAAAAAATACTGTTAATATTGACAAAGAGGCAAACATTTGGAACTGACACTGAAACCTCATAATGTACAGTGATGCTCTCTGTCTGTGCTGTCTACTGTATCTGTTTTGCCTCACTAGTGCTGTCAAACCAGTAAGGAACACGCATCAATGCTTTGAACGCAATTTCTTAAGAGAGAATTTTTATTTAATGTACACTTAATCTGTTGTCCATCTGTCTGGCAGACTAAACCAAATGCTACTTTTTATTTTTTCCATCTCATGACTTGCTGTTTTTAAGCTTACACCTACACATTGTTTCAAATGACCGGTATTTAAAAATGGGAGTTTCTAATTGAGATATATAAAGTTAGATATCTTTGCCCTGGAAGAACTTTTCAGGGACCTAAATTAGTTTTGTGTCATGTATTTCATTGTGGACAAAGTCGAGAAAAACAGCTATTTAAGAAAGACTCCTCATGTACATGTGGAAATTCAATTATTAAAATTGTTCAATGGAACGCAGCAAATGTACTTTTGTAAAACGTTAAGTCGCTCGCCTATTTATTATATGAACAAGAGTCAGACACGTCAGTATTCTTGTAGTGTGGTGTTTAACATAGCCTTATTTCGACAATGTGCACAAATGGGTGCATTTGTTGTCTGCCATTTTGTTATCCAGACAGCAAACTTTTAGTCACTTAACATATGAAATTGAGTATTTATTGACCTCTATAAAACCAAGCCTGCATGACATGACTTAGACTGTAAGGTTCCATACGGTGAAGACTACAGCAATGTGGTGGGGATACTGTTGAAAATACTATTTTTGTATTACTGTTAATCCCACTGTTCTTCAGCTTTTGTTGTGCCTTTTGCTGTGTTTTTTTTACTTCTGAGGAGTGAAAGAAAAAAAATGATGATAATTTTTTCTTTTTTTAAATTCAAACTGCATTACTTTTGAGAGATGGGCCAAACATTCTCGTGAAACAGATATGACTGCTTGGACTGGATAATGCCATCTGTTTGTGCCAATTTATCTGATTTAGCACCTGACTGTTTTTCTTAAGAACAACTGCACAATTATTTTCGTAATAGTTAGACTTTGAAGAGGTGGTGGAACAATTTGCCACTCTAATCTTAAAGGTCTCCGCTCAGATTATTTTAATTTCTTCACAAAAAGTTTTCTAAAGGTTACCATGACTGAGTTCTATATTTATGATAATAACGATGGAATTAAAAGTTTGAAAATGCGACTCCCGCTTTTTGGACCAAACTTCTTGTTCCAAAAAGGTATTTTGAAAATTGTACAGGCACATATTTCTTAATTTTGAATCATCTTAAAGCAATCGACGGGAGGTTCACTCACAGCTTGTGTAAAGTCTGCTGTAAAGATGTCCAAAAGCTATTTCATTGGTTTCACTGACCATGCATATTAAAATGAATACTGACCTGGTCACCTTTAAAGAAATTTTTTTGTCTGTCATCTGAGACGTGTATAAATATGTGCGAGTGTGCGTGTGTGACTGAATGTTCATGACTGCCAACATGAAATGTGATCTGTAATCACAACTGCTTTCAGATGCTGAAGCGGTTTGTTAATTTGAGGAAACATATCGTAAATGAACAACGTCTCAATTAAAACCAGGACAGAGCTGAGCATGGTGTTCTTTTTATTTATTTTTTGCTGTGTCTCTCTGTTGTCAGTCAGGCTGCTCCTTAAAAATGTGCATTGAACCGCAGAAAAACTGGCACATATACCTGAAGCTGCTGACACATCCTATCCAATCTGCGCAGTGTCATAGGAGCATGAAATTAGGTTTCTCTCTACTATAAAGCCACATACATTTCCTTCCATGTTCCACTGCATTATTTCTAAAAAAAATGCTTACGACAAATGGCAAATTTAACATGAAGGGCATAATATAATGACGATGTTTGACATGTTTTCCGTCGAATTTCAGAACATACAAACTCCACACAGAAATGCTTCAGCTGGGATATTGCTGTGAGGCAACAGTGCTAACCACCACACCTCTCACCCTTATGTAGGACATAACATTTAACACAAACAGCCCCTTTAGCTTCTTTCCATAAACCACAAATTGTTTTCTTCAAGTCCTCTAACTTCCTTCCACAAGTGAAAAACAAGCATGTTAGGTCAATAGTAATCCCAGTGGTCAATGGGCGAGAGGCAGGGTGCACCCTGGACAGCCTGCCAGTCCATCTCAGGGCTACACAGAGACACACAACCATGCACACTGACTCCTAAGGGCAATTTGGAATGTCCAATCAACCTAGCATGCAGGTTTTTGGACTGTGGGAGGAAGCCAGACAACCCACGCAGACATCAGGAGAACATGCAAACTCCACACAGAAAGGTCCTGGGTCACCCAGAACTCAAACACAGAACCCTCTTGCTGTGAAGCGATGGTGCTAACCACCACACCACCATGCCAGCCCCCCTGTGACCCAATAAGGAATAAACAGTACAGTAAGAGGATGGATCACTTATATACTGAATGAAAACTGAATCCAGTATAAATAAGCCATTAAAACAGTGAATTTACTTTATTGAGCAGATGACAGTGTTATTAAATGAAATGTCCTATCTTTGGTTGTGTACTGTAATGGGAGGTTTGACTGAATTGTACCACAGACCACATTGCTTCTATTGTCATTTCAGCATTGGCTCTGCTTTGCAAAATGAGCAAGTTGAACATTGGATCTCACAGCAAACTCATTCAGTTTCTGTATAAATACAGATTTTGTGTGGTCAAAATGGCACATCACCGCTGACACTTCACCATTTTACATTATGGGTGCTGTTTTTTTTGCAAAGTCCCATAATGTATTTCATTCTTGACAGTCCAAATGGGTTCCAAAAAGAAAAAAAGAAGAGAATTTATTGCTGTCGTTTGTGTCAGTCCTCGTGCATTCAAACATGTGAATAATTCTACACGATTAAACAGATATGCTGCATTTAGGACTATTACCTCAAAAGTCTGATAAAAAAAGAAGAAAAAAGAGTGTGCATTCTAAAAAAATTCATACAGAGAAAGAAAATAAATCTCATCGTTACACTCACGCATCAGAACCCTGGGAGAGTTTATGTGGATGTGGCATGGGAACGAGCCTTTGTGCATTCAGACGTTATTCTTCTATTAAGACAACAGTATTATCCCAGATTGTACAGCCACACAACTGAGTGTCTGTGTAAACTTTTGAAACAATACAGTGAACAGCAAACATAAAGTTTTATCCTAGCATCACATAAATAAACTTGGGGTCCAACAATGCAGTCATTGCTGTCTGTGGATGCTGCTCAATGGTGTTGACACTGCTGTCAAACTCCGCGCTTCCAATACAAGGATTGTGAGGCGCGAACCTGGCAGCGAAGAACTCACTGACCACAATGCGGTCCCGGTATCATTACTCACTCCACCCAAACAAACAAATGGCAAGATATCGGGCCAATATTTATTTTATTCAGTACTGTCCAGGAAATGACACACAACGTTTTGTTTCTCCTTGGCGGCGAAACAACGGAGTTTGGAGATGCGAAAAAGATGAGACAATAGTTCACGTCGCGGTGAAGGAGACACAGCGCAGTGCCACTGCCCAGAAGGACGGCTTTTCACAAGGCCTCGCCGGCCAGCGTACCAGACGCAGGAAGGATATTAAAGCTTTTTCCCAGAGTTGACAGAAGAATACAGGGAAGTGGGTTGACCCAATGGTTTTGACCAAAAGCGATGCAGGAAGTGTGAGAGTGCCAGGGTTGCATTCAGATCTGCCGTGATGGGTGACATGCGGGTGAAACACAAAGCTACATGGCATATCAAGGTTTCCCGCATTGTAATACTGAAAGCACCCCTGGCTAATAATAGCTACTTTTCAATTTATAGTGTTAGGGTTAGAACTTCTTTTTTTTTTCTAGAACAAAAACACAGCACTGATGAATCATTCATCTACACCTCCATCCAGTTTTTACCTGCTCCAGGGGTTACAGAGAGCTGGAGCTCACCAGCTGAAGTTGGGCATGACGGCCAATATTGGTCCATTACAGGGCAAACACAAAGAGGTCACATAATATATGTGGCCTACGTTATATAATCTCCAAAAAGCGCAGTATCTAAAGAAATCCAGCAAAGACACACTGAGAACGTACAAACCAGGCAATTATTGTTCACGTCGTATTTCTCGAAATAATCATAATTGGCATATCTGGTATGTTAAGACATAAAGATTTACTTTTCTGATGGAGCCAGTCTCAAAATGAAATAAAGAAAACAAAACAACCCTCCAACAAGACCCCCAATGAAAAAGCACAGGTATTTTTCTTCTTAAAGTCTCTTGAAAGTCAATACACTTTGGTCAGAAGTCCAACATTGGCAACATTAACATAATACAGTCTGGTAATTTGTGGTCCTATTTTTTTAAAGGGCACTAAAAAAGCATTAGTAATTTTAGAACAAAGTCCATTCTTGGGGTTCATCTATAATGCATTCATACAAATGTCTCTGAACAAATTTGAATTTAATGTGATGTTTCAAAGGTTTGTTCACCTTTTTAGCTTTCCAATGTCTCAACTTTTTGCAATGCAAAAATATAAATGTAGATTAAATAATAATGAACTAGTGCCCAATGCATTCATTTAAATGTGCATAAATTACACAAAACTATAATAAATAAGGCACTGTTATGTTCGAAATTGGACTGCTGCTCTTCTAATAAAGCCATTAAGTTCAACCTTCTCATTGAGTAATATGCTGGCTCCGAGCTATTGAGTTTTCACAAATTCGCAAATGTATTTCCGAGTAGGTAAGTTGATAAGTTTTGCAATACACTGAGATGAGGAAATTTAAACTGAATCGTGTGGGGCTGCATGCAGTGGTTAGAGTTTCTTTTTTTTTTTTTTAAGATTTTTTTGGCTCCAGTGGCCTTTAATGACAGTAGCTTGACAGGAAAGGGGGCAGAGATAGAGAGGGGGAGACCTGCGGGAAAGGGCCATGGGCTGGATTCAAACCCAGGCCGCCCGCTTGCGAGCAAAGGCTCTGTATATGGGCCGCCCGCTCTAGCCATTAGGCTACGGCTGCGGCCCGTGGTTAGAGTTTCTATGCTATCCCTTTGTTTGCGTAGGTTCTCCTCGGATACTACCTCCAAAAACAAAACACAAAAAGACCATGCATGAGAAGTTAATTGGTGACTCGTAATTGTTCTGTGTGGTTGTTCATCTCTGTGTGGCCCTGCGATGGACTGACCAGCTGTCTGGGGTGTGCCCCGCCTCTCATCCATTGACAGCTGACCACTTCCTACTAGGAATAATTGGTAATAACAATTGAAAGTGGACGGATGCGTTGTCTGTTTATGTCCATTATAAATCACGTCTGAGCCATCTTTTCTTGCACATTATAGCTTAATTTGATTAAATAATGTCATGTGTAGGCCATTTAAGGTTATATTTGACTCATGTCAAGGGCTGATCAAAGCCAGATGGTTATTTTTGTCCTTATACATAAGGAGAGAGAGAGAGGGTATATTTCCTTTTTCACATGACTGTATGCATTAAGGGGGTTTCAGAGATCATAAAATGACTTATTATTGCACTGGTCAAACAGTATGTTTTGGTTCTGTTAATAATAACAAAGTTCTTGGGCATTTGTGTTTTTCTATTGGGGCCCATGAGTGGGGAGGTTCTTCTCACCCATAGGATACACACATGCTCGGCTCACGCACACACTAGGAGTCGTGAGCTGAGCATTTGCAAAATTCTTGCATTATCTGAGAGGGGTTCTGTTTTTAAAAAGCTATTTGCTTAACCACAACACCCACCTCCCAAATAAGTACAAATGTGAGAAAACTCCTTTTTATTCATTTCATTAAAAGGGCCGCTGCACCGTCAAAAGTCAGTTCTCACAACTGAACCGGACCACCAACACACACACACACACTTTCCCACAGTATAAAGCCCACAGGCAAATGACCCAAACAGGACATCCTCCCAATCGTTCACCCTCTAGAGTTCCCACTCCCCTCCTCCAACCTTCATACACTTTCTCAGTTAATAGCTATTTTTTTTCTTATCATGTACCACCGACTGCCAAATGATCTCAGTTTCTTACTATCACCTCAGCAGTGCTTCCCGAAACAATCCTGCCAAATCTGCCAGATTATTCCTTTCATCCCGTTTTTTCGTGCTGTTACACGCTCAGCGGCCTGCGTGTTGTACATAAAAGTCACATTTCGGACCAAACACACTGTTGTATGTGTAACAGAATGAGTTATTCTTCTCTCTTAAGATTTCCTGTGGAAATAGTTTAAGTCTGAGTATTAGTTCTGAAAGAAATCTCAACATCCAAAATGTAGACATGAGTCAGCTCTATTGAAAGCTTCTGTCAAACTTTTATCAAATTTATAGGCATTCCTAATCTATTTTGTAGCGCCCACAAAATACTTCTGAGATTAATCTTATTCACGTTGAATGACATGTCTATTTTTATTCCAGGAGTGGTGACCCTATAATAATACTCAGAGGCAGGAGGTGAGTTCTGACTATTGATTTTGATGTATAAGGCCACATTTTGAAGGGCTTAGGGAACTAAGACTTTTGGTTTACCAGTCTTGCTTTTAGCTGAACA